TTTGCGCCAGACGGATCGAGCTGAAATTTTAGGATATGAATTATGACTAATAATTACACATCTTGTGAAAGTTTCATCTTCATACATATCATGGTTTCAGAGATATATATTTTTGTAGTTACCCAAGTCAGCCCGTGCGCCACTGGTACGCGCACGTCACGCTTGTGCGCACGGGTGCGCATGATGTCACCCATGACGTGCGCGCACTGCAGCGTACTGATGTGTAATCGTTAATACGCGTGACGTGATGTCGCATCCAGTAGAGAGGCCGTCTGTTCATATGAATGGCACAAACAAAGTATATAGGATTAATAATGGACGTCCTTTTTGGATAGAAAAAAAAATTAAGGAATCAACTTTTGTGATACGAATATTTTTTCTAATATTTTTTGTAGTATTTGTTATAATATTTTTTTTAATATTTTTTAAAATATTGTTTAAACATTTTTAGATTTTTTTTTGCAAAATTTTTAGTATTAATATTTTTATAATATTTTTTATAGTATTTTTTTTAATATTTTTTATGAACATAATTATTCTAGATTTCATCTTCATTTTCTCAGAGGTGATTACCAAAGGGCAGCTTTTTTTTTTAATTTTAATATTTTTAGTAAATTAAGATTAATCATTTCCATCTTATCCGTCGTATGGAAAACAATACACATGATTTAACATCTCAACTCGATCATCATGGTACGTTATCGTCTGAATTTCTATTCATGTCTTTCTTTTTTTTTGTAGACAAAGAGCAGAGGAGACAACGCAATATTAAATACCGACAGTCAATACGTGAACAATGTATAAATATATCAAAACGAAATACATCGGTTACTGATACCAAGTTCACCACTGATCAACGTAACATCGTGTCTTTCGATGATTTTTTAGAACCTTTTTTTATAATTGCTGTAGTGATAATCAATGAAGATTTTGATGAAGAGTCTACAGAAGCTATTGTTGATGAACAACAATCAGGAGCACCATCGAATGATATTTACAACTCGAGATATTCAACTCTTAACGAAGGTATATTTAATTTTTCATTTCGTTTGCGTTCCTAATACATTTTCTTTTGTGTTTTATAATCTTGTAATATAGATAATCATATTTTTACGACTGATTTGGAATCAAATACTGAACTTGATAATGATTATTATTTACTTGAATCTCCACCATCTCAAGCTAGTGGAAGTGAAAGTGAAAGTGATACTGATGAAAATGAAGAACTAATACAAATCATTGATTTTATTCGTGGTGCTAATCTTGATAAGTCAAATACAGATCGATTATTAGATTTATTAAATAATATTCATTCAAATGTTGGTTTACCAAAAACAGGTCGTGAACTCTGGGAACGAGCTGGAATTAAATTTACATTTAAAACAAATATATATTGTTCAATTTGTAACCGACAACTGACGAAATTTGCTGATAAATGTAATTGTCTTCATGGAAATCAAAATATGAATACGGAACTTATATTATTCTCTATTCCCGATGAAATTCGTCGAGTTGTGAAATTAAATTTCAACCTAATAGAATTTTTTGCTGATTATCGACATGAATTTATGTATGATATCACAAATGGTATATTCCATTTATCTTATTAAGTTTAAACTAAATGAGCTTCATTTTAGGTGATATTTACAAAAGTAATGAAAAAAAAAACTCAATTACTTTGCTTCTAGGAACTGATGGTAAACCAACTTTTAGATCTTCAAGCAGCTCGATGTGGCCTGTAAGTGATTCATTTTTAATTTGCAGCGAGTCTTAGTAATCATATTTCATTTGGAAATTTACAAAGAGGATAATTACCACAACAAAAGATTTTTCTTTTTGAGAACAGGAAATTGAGTATTCTTTTCACGTGTAACTTAATATACATTTTTCCATAACATGATTCCTGGTTGTCTGCTGTCAGTTGAATCGATCGCTGCAAAATAATGTAGTCACTATATAAATTCCTATATGAAGACGCTCATTTTTTACTGATAAAGGTTCTAGAGTGTGTTTTACAGATATTATTATCGAATTGAATCAATCAATGAAATTTTGCAAGAATTCGTTGATAATAACATGTAATTGTTTGAAACAAAAGATTCCTTATTCCTCAGTCTCTGTTCGCTAAATATCTACGCTGATGCTAGAAGAGTACGTTTTGAACATCAATAATTTACAAATTTACCTTGAGATCGAACGTAAATAGTTAATCAAAACTTTTTTTTTTGAGAAATCTGAATAAAATTTGTTATGTGCGTCAATGGTAAGGAAAAAAGGATCAACAAGTGATTTTATGTTAATGATAAAATTATGCTTAATTATTTTGGTATAGGTTTTCTGTACTATCGCAGAAATTCCACCTCCTGTACGTGAATATCAACGTAATGTGATGCTATTTGCGTTGTACCATTCAACAAAAAGTCCAACGGCTGAAATGCTTTTCGGAAATATTGTGAAAACGATTAAACGTCTTCAAACTAGCGGTCTTCTTATTAATCTGGGTAAAAAAGATGAGTATCAATCACTTTTTAAAAATGCTTTTCGTGATCAGATCATTTCCAAATAGCTTCGAATAACTTAAACTATTTAAATGAAAGCGTTGATAGTATTTAATACTATGCATGGCATTATATTTGATTTATAGCGGTTATCAGCTTGAGAAATTTCAGTTTAGATGCGTATTGTATTACATCATACAGAAAATGATCATCAAGATGACTTATGATTATTAAAAATTAGAAATAAAGGTATGAGAATTATCTTGTTAATCCTTTTCAATATATTTTGTAAGTGAATTTGATCTAATAAGTCTTAGTTTAGCAGAACACGACAACGCTCAATAGTTATTCAGTATTAGATTGATAAATAACTGAATACGAAATAAAGCATATACATTTTATGCGCTGTTCATTTTACATATATACTTTTATCTATTAATCTAACATATTCAGCAATTGCCGACTGTTGTAACCTATAATCTATTCCTATAATTTTTAAAATAATCAATTATGTTTCTCTTTTCCATTTCTATACGTGTCCGATTGTTTAATATCAATGTTCAACTGATCGTTGGTGATTTGCCTGCGAGATCAAAATATAGTCTTTTATCCGGTCACACAGGTTATTTCTCATGCACACGATGCCTTATCGAAGGCACACATTGTAACATACATCGCCACATCTTTTATTCGTGGTATGAATATCAAATAGCTCGTCCTGAACGTCGAACTCGAGAAAATATAGAGCATTGTGTTAATTTAATCGAAATATCCAAGACAAAAATTCGACCATTTGGAGTTCTTGGAAAATCGCCTTTATCCACCATCTTATCAATCCCTACTCAATGTGTATTTGATTACTTTCATATCTGTTTGAAACTTCATTTGCCCTTACTGATTACACAATGGATTAATCTATTACCGAAAGTTGCTGTTGAAAAAGCCAATGCTTATCTTTCTGATATTCTTTATCCACACACCTTTAATCGACGTCCAAAAAACTTGTCAATGTTTAATCAATGGAAGGCTAGTCAAATGAGATTTTTTTTTCTTTATATATCTCTTCCACTTCTTGTACATCTCGAAAAATCTTTTCCTTCTGCGATCGTTCGACATTTTTCTTTACTTTTTGTTTATCTTCGTACATTGATTTTTTTTTATAATCGTTCAGACATATATGCAATGCGTCCGTTCATTGAATGCTATATGGAACAATTTCCATTATTTTATGGGTCATGTGCTGAACTGCTATCAACTCATATTTTAATACATTTATGGAAGCAATGTCAAGATCATGGTGCGTTAGCGTTTCATAGTATGTTCATCATTGAGAGTTCGCTAAATCACTTGGCAAAAATGAGTCATGGAACAATATCATTAGCCAGTCAAATCAGCTATTGGTATTCCATTGATCGATATATTCATTCGAGAAAAGTCAAGCGTACACCAATTACTTTTTTAGATAACTATTTTTTTGAGAACAATTTTTTTGATCAAAATATTACCAAACAATATGATCGACAATTTATTTATGCTTTTTTTCGCTTCTTTAGTCATGCAGCTGCTGAAGATATTCGCTTTTATGATCGTTTGCGTTTAGGCATTTCCGTTTATCATTCATTGTCATATAAGTTGCGAAAAACATCTGTTAGTTATCGAGTATGCTTGTATAACTCTTCCTGTTCTAAACTAATTTGCTTTGGCGAAATCTTATTCTTCTTTTCCTATCGTAATGAAAAGTTTTTTTTTGTTAAACAAATGTTATGTTCTTCTTCTTCATTGTCGAAACATCTCGATCTTGATGATAGTATCAGCTCATGGTCAGATCGAATTAATCAATACTTTTATTGCGTCCACTCTTCTTCAATTATCTTTCGTATATATTCTTGTTCTTCTTTAGTTCGAAAATCGATTTTTCTCCCATTTGATGGCGATATTATTCTTACATCTAATGTTGATCACGAACTCGAACATGATTAAACATACAAAAGTGTTTTTTTTTCGTATACTGGATCATTTTATTCAAGCTTTTTTACTTATGTGTGTTCTAGTCATGCTGTTTCTTTTCATTCAAGCTACTCTTTATATTACTTCGATATATTTTAGTTGATCTTGATCACTTTCTTATATTTCAGATTTTCTTTTGGCTGATTCTTCAGTTCTTCTTTTCTGAATGAAAAGACATCAATTTCTAGTTTTTCAGATCAATTTATGTTTTATTGTAGATTGAAATATGTATCATCAAAGAACCTCTCTCAACAGAACAACCACCAATAATTCATTAACTCAACCACGTACAAATTCACCTTTAACAGCACGACGTACACTTCCACTACCATCTCGTTTTTTTTCACAACAACAAAAACAACAGCAGCATCATACACAAAACCATCAAGGTAAAATTATTATGTTTTCATTTTTCGTATAGTAGATATATTGGGTTCAGATGCTGTTCAGCCGTATTCATCAGATGGTGATGTTTTTGAATCAAATGCCTATCATCGAAATGCGTCTTCACGAATGACAACTTATGATGATGGTTAGTTCTACCTGTAATAATATCAATCTATAGTTAAGAAGATTTTTGTTTATTTAGATTATATTCCTTCATCATCACCATCAATTAAACGAAAACATGCTGAATCTTCACTTGAACATGGAAAACAAATGGATGATATTACCAATTGTTTGAAAACTGTTATGAAACAACAAGAAGTTATTGTTGATGGTCTTCAAGCACTTCGTAAAAGTCATAACAAAATTCAAAAAATGACAATTTCATTACTGAATGCAAATAAACTTGTGAGTTTTTTTAATCCTGTCTTCTTTTGTGAATTCCCTTCAATATAGGATCAAGTCTCGGCTAATAAACCAGTTCAATTACCAATCTACGTTAGTGATTGATCATTGTTATATAAATTTATTTTACCTTGCTTTTAATAGAAATACAAGGAAGAAAATCTCTTTGGTTCAATATCACCTGCTTTATCAATAACTGCCATTCATTGTAAGTTGATTCGTAAACTGTATTCACCAGAAGAAATAATTAATGGTGAAGCACTAAATGAACAAGATGAACGATTTGAAATTGTAAAAGGTGAGTAATGCCATTCATTATATGTTTTACTTGTATTTTTTTCCAAGGAGCCATGATTGCTGCTTTTTTTGAAAACGAACCAGAAAAATTTAAACGTTTTTGGGATGGTGTTGGTGGTAAACATATTGGTGGACAAAAACGAGCTGCTCGAAGTCGAAGTAAAAAAGCTCGGTAAGTATATAGTCCACTTCGCACCACTATTTATACGGATTCACAAGCACTCCAAGATCCTGTATTTTAGACGAAATCAAGATCAAACTGATCAAACAACTGATTCTGCCATGGCTGAAATGAACAGTGAATTAAACAGTCAAAAACAGTTCGATGATGAAGATGATGATGACGACAATGATGATTATTGATATTTTGCCTTTATGTCAATTACTTATTCATAAGATTTATGCCAATTATTTGTCTTATTAGTTATTTATGAAATTATGTAGTATCTTTGTCGAAACATCAAGTTCGTTTTTTTTCGCATCATGAAATAATAACTATCACACTTCTCATCCATCTTTACATTATCTAAAGAATCTTTCTTTAATTTTCATGCTCACTTTCCTTATAAGAATTGTAAATCTCATGAAACATTTATGTGATATCATATCCTGTTGTGCGTTTTTTTATTGAACAACTGTTTTGTTAGTTTTCTTTCAGTTATTGATCTCTACTCAAGTAGTTTTATCCTGAGAACCATTGAAACGAAATAAAACATTTTGCGGACTGTGGATATTGAAAAAAAAGTCTTTTATAAATAAACCAATGGTAAAACAGCAAAGAGCGTACGTCACTAGTGGTGCGCGCACCGTACGTACGCGTGACAGTCAGTGCGCGTACCGAGCGTCTCGGACGTCACGCGCACGGATGGTGTGTACGTCACGCGCACCAATTACGTACGTGCGCGTACAAATGGCGCACGGGCTGACTTGGGTAGGTATAAGTGATTACCGTTTATTTCCATCGAACATAGCGCTCCTCGACTAAAACAATTTTTTTCGGAAAAGAAGATAATGTCTAGTATAATTGGTAATTATTTATAACTTTTTTTGAGCATATTTATCGACTTTACTTGTTTTATAAATGAATTTTGGAATCCATGCTCCTCTTTCGTCGCTTGGTTACGAATAAAAAAATCACGTTAGATGGCAACTCTAAAACATCTATCGCTGAACTATAGAGATCAAATATGCCGCTGTTATGTTTCCTTTTCTTTTGATCTTCTATATTTTATTGTTGTTCTAATATATTTCTCCTGTATGTAGATATGAATAAATTTAGTCAATAATCTACCAGTTTAACGAAGTAAAATAAAATATATTGGAGGGTACTAAGTTCTAGTATTTTTCCGCGGTATCATGACTGGCTGCTACAGGAACAGAGAGATCAACATGCTATTTGAAGCTAGTATATCTTTCTGAGAATGATTTCTTTGAATGGATGGGAAAAGGCAGAAAGGAAAAATGTCGAAAGGGGAAAATATCGAAAATAAAAATGTCGAAAACAAGAATATGAGGTGAAAATGAACATGTAAGATTGGAGGTGGGGGTAAGAAAGATTTCTACCTCAACATACTCTCGTTTTCAGCATTTCTATTCATCTACATTTGTAATATTTTTGCTTTCGATATTTTTATTTTCGACATTTTTCCCTTTCGATATTTTTCCTTTTCGATATTTTTCCTTTCTGCCTTTTCCCACCATACCATTTCTTTTATCTAAATCGGAATCTTAAACATTAATTAGTTTAATTGACAGAACACATGAAAGAGTATGGTTATAGAAGTGTTATTGATCTGAAGAAGTATCGAGCAGCTAATGTTATCTGATTAATTAGAATAAAAAGATCAATTTTTTATCATTTTAAGGAACGTCTTGTCAAAGTTATCTGATCTATCATTGTCTTCTTAAAATATTTTTATTTGTTAAAATACATTTTTCTTGTCAGTAAAGTTTGTGTAACTTCATATGTGAAGATTATTATGCTCTGTTTACTCATTTAAAACCGTTTATCAGGTTTCTGTTAACAACAAGATAGACGTTGTCATATGCGAGGGAACCTACTATGTTAGTTGTGAGATTATTTTACTGCAAAATTATATTATGTTTCCCTTGTTTCCTGTCTCTTTCATTGATAGAATATGCATATATTTGTCCCTTCTGCAATAGAATCGATTGCTTACATTGTGAAAGGCGGGAAAAGCATCAAAGAAAATAGAAGATAAAAGAGATGAAGCGATGGTATTGTCCAGTGACGAATAGTTTCTCTGCAAGAGAAAGAAGATCAAAAGAAAAGGAAACATAACAGCGGCATATTTGATCTCTATAGTTCAGCGATAGATGTTTTAGAGTTGCCATCTAACGTGATTTTTTTATTCGTAACCAAGCGACGAAAGAGGAGCATGGATTCCAAAATTCATTTATAAAACAAGTAAAGTCGATAAATATGCTCAAAAAAAGTTATAAATAATTACCAATTATACTAGACATTATCTTCTTNATTTTCTTAGATGTCTTTTTTATTGTATCAATGATTAGCTATTATGTTGAACACTGAACGAGGCAAAAGCAAATATCTCATTCAAGTGGTTGTCATACTGTCGGAGAGAAGAAAGACCGAAACAAATATTCTTCACTATTTGGCGTTATCTTTTATGAGATATATTCTTATCTTTTTTTGCCTATTTGCATTTTTTTTTTATCTATTTCGACTTCACATAGTCAATAAATGACGGTAATAACATTTGTATTTACGTCAAAGAGAAGGTGAGCGAAGCTTTTAGCTTTCTGTAGATATCTGGCGATGAACCCACACGTGTGCTTCTCGAACCATTATAAAAATATTCACGCAACAATAATATTTTTAGGGAAACAACTCATATCTAGCTAAAAAATACGGAGCATATCTTTCATGAAATTGCTTGTTACACCTGAATCTATAAGATGATCAAAAAAAAGGTTTACTCCTTTTTGCAATAGGATTCCTGTCTGTTTAGCATTCTGTTTTTTAATGAAGTGCTTCTTGAAACCAATAGAGTTGGGAGAATTTCTTTGGCTTATTTTCACATTGATACTGTTCTGCCGTAATGAAAAACAGGCATATACTTCAATATATATGAAGTTTACGTGGAGTGATGTATCTTAGGTAAGAACGTAAAACAATATCTAACTTAGAGTTCGTTTAGTTTAAAATTTAAGTTGATTTAGAACTTATATAAAGAATATATTCATTGTGGAAAATGTTTCGGTTCAAAAAACAATATTTTGGAAACCCTTCCATCTTTATATATATTTTTTAAACTTTCGTTCCATGCTTCTTTAGTCAATTACATATTTTCTTTTTTCTCTTATAAAATCAAAGTTTACCAATAAACGAAGGACATTATTGTTAAAATTGAAATATTTTATCTACGGCATATAACCGATCGTTATCAAAACTAATTTACATAGTACAAGAATAAAATCAGTAGACTATCGCTCTATTCGACAATACTATATAATACACCTAATGCACAGATATCTTAATAATAGTTTGAAGTTAATCATTATTCGAAAGAATTTATATGTATACTCACACTATGAACTCCTGAAAATATAGTGGCAAAAATTACAAGCCTGTATTTCATATCATTATTGAATTATTCAATATCTAAAAACAGATGCGTAAAAAAATAAAAGAAAAAAAGGTTCTGCTATCCAATACAAGCCATATTTTATAAGTTTCTTTTGTGTCTTCACTTTCAGTGAAGTATTTTCAAAATTGAAATATTTCTATTTAGTACAGTTATCTCAGCTCTATTTGTTACAGAAGAAATCCGTTCCAAACGTCAATAGTAAAGACACCGGCATTGCATTTCAAAAATAGATCAGTGCTTTTCTGAAAACAGTTTCGAACGAATATGATTTGACTGAGGAACACAGAAAGATGGTGTGAACATGATTCATAATCGATTAGTTGTGCAATCGAGAAAACTGACAAAATCGAATGGACATCGATAGTATCTAACAGGAGTGAAAAAACAGACCGAACGGCATTTGGTTCACTAAACGCCCATAGATTTTTCAAATATAAGGACGTTTTTTATTTCACTTAGAGTCATCAATTACAATGAAATTTGGCCAATATTTGTCGAAAAATCTAACACCCGAATGGTATTCTCAATATATCGATTATGATGAAATGAAACGAATGCTTGCGGAATCAGTGGCTGAAGCCGAACGACTGATCGGCATCGATAATAGTTCGACACGTACGCAATTTTTTCTTCGTGCCGATGAATGTTTTTTCCGAGTAAGATTTGTTCGACATTTGGTACCATAATTGATCAACAAGCAGACGAAATATTCTGTTTCGCAAAGATTTCAAATGTTTCATGATCAACGATGGACCGATTTTTCTATCTAAACTATTATTCTGGTCGGTTCAGAATATGTTCGACATCGACTTTACTGTTTATGTGCTATCGATGCTTATTATACATTGTCCATTTCCATTAAACACTTGAGTATGTAGGTTTATCCATTTAGGAGATGAGTGCGGAACGAAGGAATTCTTTCAGCTTGTTGATCAGTTAGACAATCTTTCTACATGCATTATGTTAATATTCTTCGTGTCTTACCTTATTTTACTAGTTCTGCAAGAAAGAATCATCCAAAATCAATAATTTCTTTGCTGAAAAACTTGCCGAGTAAGTCATTTTCAAAACTCTTGAGTATACAACGTTGATTGCTCTCGTAACAGTCTTGCAACTAGATGTAATAAACAGACAGGTTTCGTTTTTCTGAATTATGGCTCAATTGTTTCGACAAAGGCTGCGTCTTGTACCACTGTGTTCCAGTAGTACTTCATTTGTAAAAGTTTGGCGAGAGCAGGAGGAAATACTCTTCACAGTTATTTCATTGTTTATCTTTGGTGTCATATTTGAGTATTATGTTTATAGAGCACTGCGATTATTTGAACCACTCAAAAACGAACTCAACAGTGTTGGGCAAAGTCGTCAGTCTCAACAGGACATGAACGCAAGTGTGTTAGTTCTGGATAACCCAGAAGACAATCACGACGAGAGAAATAGAAATAATCAGACACTCCTCCCTAATTCATCGTCACCAAACACCTTTCGATCATGGATAGCCCGCATGAAACCCAATAAGCCTATTGAAACGTTGCAAAGAGCCCGCACGGAGCGAACACGTCATCGTAAAATCAACAATCTTAAATTAGCATTCAGTGAATTCTATTTGATGTTGGTCCTCTTGAAAAATTATCAAACGCTCAATTCGACTGGCTTTCGTAAAATATTAAAAAAGCACGATAAATTATTTGAAACGACGCGTGGCGATGAATGGCGGTAAGCTTCTGGATTTCA